GACGTTTATGCACTACTACATATTGTGAAACAATCAGCCCACCCACTAAATAAGGTAGAATAGCCCGCTATTAAATTCAATGCTACCACAGGAATACCATATTATGTTATGTGATGATTTTATATTTAGAAACAAGTGAAGCACCAACCTCTGTTCAGATGGTAACATCATCGGCCAGAATAAAAAAAAATTACTATTTTGAAAACCAAAGCAGCACAAATTACATTTTCAGTATTTAAAAACAGTACTAAATCAGCACACAAAAAAAGTAGATCCCTTTGGTTCAATGCAGAGTTTAATTGGGGGAAATTGGTTAACCTCTGGCTGACCTAAAAATATCTCTGAAACCAAAGGAGAACATGTGATCATTTTAAATGTACAAACCTGTTTTTTTCCTCCAATCCGATCATGCGGTCCACGGTGAAAAGACGGTCCACGGTGCATAAGTAAGTTTAAGTAATTTCCCTGTGGGATTATTAAAGTATGTCTGATTCTGATTCTCCCCACAGTGTCCGCAGTGATTTCCATTCAGCCTGAATGCACCTTGAAGCTGCATGATATATTTACTATTTCCATGGATTTACTGCTGGGTTCAGATTAGAGATTGACTGGGCCATTTGTGTTATCGTTTTATTTCTCTCCATCCTTCATTAAATTACATGAAGTTTCCCATCGGTTTTTCCTGGAAACCAGTGCAACACAATGCCCTTCCCTATTCTAAATATTACTTCTGAGATTTTTTGAAAGATGTTCAAGGACTTTCTTTTAGCAAACACTGTGGTAAAATTCAATGAGTAAAATATTCTGTCATGCTTTAGCATCATCCTTTAGCAGTGTAGCTGTGTGCAGTGAGCTGGCATTGTTAGTGTGGCTGTTCAGCACTTTACTAGTATATTTCTTTTGAAAAACTTTTCTTTCAACTTTGGGGGATTTCTTAAGCTGTTTGTTAAAGGTCATTGGCTCTTTAACAATTCTACTGATGATCTATTCTGTGTTTCAAAAATTATCATATTATTGTGGCTTGTTAATGATAAATACAAAGGTTGTAACTATTTGCAAGGATTATGTTGTACACAATACAATAGCTCTCCTATGATACTTTTGCAATTAGAAACCTTTTCATAAACTATCAGAATCAGCTGGAATTAATTTGCCCTGAAGGAAAGAGAATTTTTTGCTAAATGCGGGCAGATGTTTGCTTATTTATACTGTAGGCTTTATATACAAACACATATATTTGTATGTGTATACAACCTTACTCGTATTTCTTGGATGTTTTATTTCAATATCTTTATTAGAAGTATATACTTTTACAAGTTTAACCCTTTTTTCCCCAGTGTATTTTGTGTCTAGGGCTATATTTTCATGTTTAGTAAGAACATGTTTCATATTTTAGAGTTTTAGCTCCATGGATCCTAATTTTTCTTTGTAAGTGTTTTCAATTTCTGTTTATGTATGTGCATTTTGAGCCGGATGTCTCAACAAAATTGCATTATGGTCTTATGATGGTAATGATAAAGACTCTGGATTCTTGAGAATGACTCAAACCATATGTTTTTCCATAAATGTCAATAGAATCTGAGGGATTTGTGTGTAACCTGAGTCCAACTGAATTGGGAGAACATGCTGGACTGGGGTTCATTGTCCCTATCATCTCCAGCAATCTGCTCCAGCAGGTCCATACACTGCACACTTGTCCACATAAAATAAAGGTCCACATTCCTCTTTCAAAGTCACCATGCTGTTTTTAAAGCAGGGCTGCTCTTTATTACCTCACACAGAACTGCGTTTTTTACGGTTTGGCTGCAGCCTGAATGGCTGTATACAGAGGAAGTGGTAACAATGTGTTGTATATGTCTTGTCTGTAATTGGCATCACAGTGTCAGACCGTATTTAAGCCTGACTTTCCTGGGCTACTGCTACGACTGTCCTTTTTGTAAAACAAAGTAGAAAAAAAGGTGTTATTAATCAAAAAGATTTTAAGTGCTTTCGTTTTTTTGTCACTTAATATTAAACTTACTTGGGAGAAGAGGCCAACAAAAAACGACCGGCGATTTGGCAGTCGGCAAAGAATGAAATATTTCCCTAAACCAGAAATGAATACTGAAACTTTGTCAACTAAAACAAATAAATCATGCTGTCAGAAAAAGTTTGCCGTGGGGAATGCGTTGAAATGGAGAGTATTCCCAGACACAGAAGGAGAGACAAAAAAGAAGAATTAAAAGAAAGAGAGGAGAGACTTGTAAGCTAGATTTGGGGAGAGAAAGAGGGAGGGCAGGATAAGTTTGGGGGGAAAGTTAGTGGCCCTGTGGGGGTTTCTTCTAGAGTTCAACCTCTCTGGCTGGGGAAGGAAGGGGGGGAGCAGGAGGGGGGAGGGAGGGGAAGGCAGTGAGCAACCTGGGTCAGCAGCAGTATGGAGTATGCGTAGATTAGATGTCTAAACTCACTCGGCAAACTCTCCAAAGCCCTGAAAGGCTTCCATCGCTCATAGCTGGTTACCAATAAGAGAACCTGGGTTAGCGGTCGCAGTTACTGCCTTGAAAAACCCTCAAAAGAAATGTGAGGAATCAGCATAATGGCTTTGTAAATCAAAAAATTTCTATGTGGGAGAGCATAAAAAGACGTGATATTGTTTCAGCTCGTCAGTCCAGAAATCTATTACATAGTACGTTGTGTGCGCCCAGGGATTATCCAGTTTTGGGTTTCCAGGATGCTGGATAGAACTAGCTTCTGGGCAAAAAAGTGCGAGGCAGGAAGGAGCTGAAAGATGGGAAAAGAATGTATCATAAAAAGCTGAACCTGAGAGAAAAAGCACATTTTCAAACCAATTTATTATTTATGAGTAACTTATTGAGATGACAGAGAAGGTGACTACATTAGCTCAAAACTGTATCACATAATTTATGACTTTATAGCAATAACAATTAAGGCGATAATTGGTAGTATTTAAAGTGCATAACATCCAAGCCCAACTAAAACAAATACTTCCTAAATATAAAACCTACCTACAACCAAATATATTCAGTACACCAGTGATATGTAGTAAAACTGTATAGTTAAACAGCACATAATTGCATAGATGCTATAAATGTTGGTTACTGACCTAAGTCTGAATGTTCAACTAGCATCAACATGACAGATTTCCACCTTGACTGGCTAATCGCTTTATAGTACTTGTCATGTTCTGGCATGTTTACATGACCAAATTTTGAGTCTGTTTTATTCCGCTTACTTATTTTTTATATAAATGGTACAATCAAATAATTTGTTGTATTTTAATCTGAAAACTTATCTGATGTGGAATTTTATTCATAACATTTTATTCACAATATTTAAAAGCAGAAATACATGTTTTTCTCTATGGCAAAAATATGAAAAACTCTTCACTTAATCAATTAAGAGGTTTAAACCTTAGAAGCAAGAAAGATGAAAAAAAGAGGCTTACAGCATTGCTGATTTAAACAGGTTGTCATCCAACCTAAACACTTTAACTCTTGTCTTGCTTTTATGACCTGACAGCTGTATTAAGAAATGGATATAAACTGCTGATGTTGTTTACTGTCAGATGGAACAGAGCAGCTCTTTAAATGTGTGCTCTTCTGTGTGATGGGTGCAAACTGCAGCCCACTTTTGAGTCTGACGTGCCTGTATGGGGCGACTTAAAAAAAACAAACCAAATGTCTCAGAGCTGCACCAGTCCCTATGGGTCAACAAACACTGAAATGAAAATCAATCAAAGTGGCTGGAAATTGAAAAGTTTTCTTTCTTTCATCAGATGGGGACTGAGTAAAGTGTGAGATGGCGAGAGAGGAAAAAGAGAAAGAGAGGAGGAGGAGGGGCAAGAAGCGAGGGCACAGTGTCTGTGGAGAATGTAGCCCGCAGCACAGATTGACAGGAAATGGTGTCTTTTTTGCCTTCTGGGCTGTACCACTTGTACCGGTTTGACAGGGGTGGAGATGAATGTGCAGAGCTCACAGAGTCAGCCTAATCTATTATTATATATCTCCTATTGTATCAGGCTGTTTGCTTTAGAGAGTCTTTCAGCCTGCCAAGCAACAGTTAGGACCAGTGAAACCCTTTTATTGACTGCGGACTGCCTATTGATTTCACCTTGATTTACAATCACTGTGAGGGGGCTGCTGTTTTTAAATTGAATTATTTCCATCAATACTCTGAACAGTGAGCATGAAGGAAGAAGTGAACGTTGCACGGCAGAAATACCCACAATGCAAGATACATTTTGCACGTTGAAGTTATGACTTGCACGGGTCTGCATCTTCATGTCAGCTTTGAAGAGTATAAATCACAAACGAGGTCAAGTGAGCCTGCGAGGAGTGTGTCTAGCACATGGTGTGTTTGTATATTAGAGGTATTTGTCTGTGTAAATGCACTGCTGGGATTGAGCAAGGCAGCCCTCATTTATCACTGCAAAAGTACTTCCAGAGGGGAAAGGCAGAAAGCACTGCCCCATCCTCTGTTCCCTAGAGCAGACGGAGGAGGGAGAGATTTTTTCCCCCCCCTGGCATCTGGTTTCTGGGTTTAGCTACAACACAATGTCTTTCCTCTTTCTCTCTCTCCTTCTCCTTCTTTCTCTCTATGTTCTGGACTCTCTCCTTGACACGCATACACAGCAAGCAAGTGGCAGGGGCTTTAATATGGTTATGATTAGAGAGGGGGGCTCAGTAAGAGGAGGCGATGGAGGGGTTCATATTTACCACAGAACACCAGGGGACTGGGGGAGGTGCAGTGTGGAGACAGACAGGGAGCAGATCTGAATTGGAGATGCCTGCTAAAGGGGTGTTTGTTTGCCATAAACATTAAGGCAGCACAAGCAGAGGAGAGGAGAATGGGAATAAAGTTTTGTCCTTTGAGCAGATCAGTTGTTCCTCTCGTGCGTGCCTTGCTGCCGGACAGCACCCATCATTGCTCCTCCCTCCCCTCCTTTTAGTTTGTTGGTTCCCCGCCTTCTCTGGCATTCTCTTTGACTCACTCTCCACCCCCTCTCAGAGCGTCATGTCTAAGCAGTTGGTTCACTCTGCTGTGTCTGGGGCTCAACGAGAGCGCTGAGAGGCTGTTATTTAGGTCTGTTACAGCGCACCAAGGAGAGGGGGGTGGCAGCAGACAGGCAGAGAGCAGAGCTAAGGAACCAGAGCTGCATTCCAGACGGGACGGAAAAGAGGGGGGAAGCTCAGCATCTGCAACGACAGAGAGTGACAGTAATAGAGAAGTTGAAGGGGAGGGAAGCAGGTCCAGATAGCTGCTGCGGGCTCTGCTGTTGTCACTGCCTTGGCGAGTGACGTGAGCAGAGGAACCAGGACAGTAGCGGCCGGCAGGCAGGACTCAGCGCCCGTAGTGATTTGTGCCAAGGGCTGGGGAGGAGGGCAATATGTTCGACTGCATGGAAGCCCTGGGAATGGGCCCCCGTCAGCTCTATGATGTCACCAGCCGCGGTGCGTGCATGCTGCGGAAGGCAAGCCCCTTCTTCCCGGGTTTGGACCCCTTTGCTTGGACAGGCAGTGCCAGTGTTCAGTGTAAGTGGCTTCCAGCTTGGTTTCATGTGTGACACACTTAGACATTCTTTCTTTTTCTCTCTCCCTCTCTTTCTGTTTCAGAGACACACACTCTTTCTTGTTGCTGTCTTGTTTACCCCTCAGGGCTCGACCAAGGGGGCTGCTGTCAGGGGGCTGCAGCACAGGACAGGAAAAGACTGGAACAGACAGTCTCTTCTTTCCTTTCCCCTCTTCACAATCAGTTTTAGCTGTTTGGAAATTGAAAAAGGAAACTTTCCCCAGGGATGCCATATTAAAAGATTTAGATGTGTTTATATCCTTCAGTGACTTCTTGAGAGTCAAGTTTCAGTCACAATGAGAGCCACCTAAGGTTTGACCTTGCATGTCAACTGACAGTGCCAAGTAGGGTGACAGGAAGAAAACTGACCTTAAAAATGATCTGGATGCTAAAATATTTTTGGCTGTAAGAGTTTTCTTTGGCTTTTACAGGCTTTATAGGTCAGAGATTCATTTTTTTTACTAGGATCAGTCGACCACAAAATAACAAAATTATGAAATATTGAATAAATATGTTAATGATGAAAAAAAAAACAACTTGATGAAGCAGATGGGCCAGACTTCACTGTTCTCTCTTTACTTCAGTCGTCTGACTTAAAAAAAAAAACATAAACTCAATGGGGCCCATTTATCTCTAGCCTTCAGTGTGGCTGCTACTGCCACGTGAGTGTTTGACAGTGAGGAAAAACAATAGGTGTGGGAAAATTGAGAGAAAACAAGTCAGATATAAAAGCAAAGTGGAAAACGTGTACAAGAAGCTGGGGGTGATGAGGGAATCTCTTTTTTTATTCTGCCTTCTTCTGCAAGCATATCCTTCTGCTTTTTGTTCCTTGTTACTGCTTCTCAGAGGGGGGAGTAATCTGTCTTCATTAATCGTAAAGACACCAGCATTTCAGTGGCCGTCATGCACACTGGCCTAGCTTTAATGAAGACAGATGCCCTGTCAGTCGAGGCTGAGGCCAGAGGGGACTCCAGCCAGCCCCAGCCTGCTTCACTCTGCTTTAGTTTGGGGAAGCCCCGATGATAACAAGTCGAGGTTTGTTTATTTAATCAGGCCTCTATTTTTAAAGTATTCAAACACACTGTATTCACACACATTGATGCATTTATAACAAAATAGGGACCTTAGATAACTGAAGCGTGTTTTTCCTTTTTTCACTCTCTGTTCCTCAAAATCAAAGTTGCAAGTAGCCCTGAGAAGCTGCCCCAAGGGTATGAGAGCCAAGTCTAGCAGAGCAGAGCAAAGTGGAGGCTGGTTTGGTGTACTGTTTCAAAAGCCTGTCTGCCCAGTAACCTTTGTAAACAAGGCCTCCCTATCACCGCACAGCGAGCCATAATGCCTCTCTTTGCTGAGGCGGTTGCCCCTCATTGTCCTCATCAATGAGGCTGATGAATTGATGTTTGAGTCTGATATCTCATTAAGCTCAGCCAGCTGCAGCACAACAGAGGGACCAGGCTGGTTCCTTATGCCATAGTCGCAGAGGCATGATCGCTGCATACCAAATTACTAAAGCTTACTTTTGTTTCCCTGAAAATGAAGTCACTTGACTCGGCCGTGATGCTTTTAAAATGAATCAATTATTTCTTTTACAGAGTAAAAATTGGTTTATTTTTAAGCAAATCATACATTAATAAAACTCGTCTTTTAGAATATGCTCAAATGTTTGTCCCACTAAATCTTCAAGCAGATGAGTCTTGGCTGTAAATCTCCAATGGTAAGTGTCACTGCTGCTGGCTCTTAGCCTGGGACCATTGGCTGACTTAAAAGTATGAGCTTGGTTTTCCCTTTTCTTGTCTACTAGTAGTGAGTCCTCAATGTCAAGGGTTAGTCAGAGGGTATGGCCTGACCAGTATCAAAGCTGCTGCATGTGTGGCTCCCAGAAAAGGGGACCCTTTCAACCAGCATGGCCTGCGTAATGCTCTTAAGTGCCTTATGCCACAGAGCTGGTACTACATCTGAACTGCCCCATACTGAGATAATGGACACTGATTTAGTCATACGTCAATGAGAACTGAATTAGTCAACTTCTAGGGAAGCCATTTGAGGGAGCCTATGCACGGCAATCCCTTCACTGTCAATTTTAATTTGCTAGAAGAATGAGGCAATTACGTTTAGCAGTTGTGAGGGGTCAAAAAAAGGGAAAGTGTGTTTTTCTCATCGACATACAGCCGTAGCTCAATCTTTTTGCGCACACTTATGGTATTCACGTTGGTACCCTCATGAGTCTGAGCACTAATGTCTCTTACACGCTTTACAGTCGAACACACCCTCTTTGTTTTCCCCTAATGTGCTGTTTGGAGGGGATCTGAGGATCTAATTAAAATAAGGCTGTACCTCTCAGCAGCAGTGGCAAAAGAAATAAGAGTTGCCTGTTACCGCTGGCACATTCTGACCTGATAATTTTCTCCCTGACAGAAGTCTGCCGTTATTTCATTATAATTACAAAAGATTCAATTAAAAGATTAGATACCCAAAGGGGGAGGGGCTGGGTATATAGATAGCAGTATCTTCTTTTGGGAGGATGTGTGTTTATGGTTGTGTAACAAAAATTAAGAAATGTGAAGTACTAGTTTCACCTCTGTAAATGAAATGCAATGTATCAATGTAGATATACACACATTTTGTCAAACAGAAACAATCAGAGCAACATGCCGAAGTTACGATAATTGAAATGGTTGGTCTCTGAGCTGTAAGAGCTGGGTACAAGAAATTAAGCTTGTTGAATTAAAGTTTTTTTTTTTTTTTTAAAGTCCATCAGTTTGAAAGAAGATCATTTTCTTTGTTTTAGGCTTTTTAAAATTTCTCCAAATACTGACTTAATTCTTTGCCAAGTGATTTTAATTTATGTCACTATTAATAAAAAACTAGGCAAAGCTGTTATAAATTACCTTCAACATCTCGAAATATTATGATTAATGTTATGATGATTAACAGGTATATTGTTGCTAAAATGGAGGTCTCTGTGTATATTCTCTCTAAGAGTTAGATAATTATTATTTTTTATCTCAGAGATTCCCAAAATACAACCAATATTTCTGTTTACTGCTTGTTCTGTGATCTAAACTGAAAGGAGGATCTGATCAAAAATGCTGTAATACTTGTTGTCTTTCTTTTATCTCAAAGTTTTGCTTTCCTTACACTTAGTAAGACGCGGGTGAGGAGATAATTAAAAACCATCCTCTATGAGTTAAAACCATCCTCTATGAGTCAACAACACTTTGCTCCCTCGTTTCTCACTAATAAGCATGCATCATTTCGGATATGATAAAAATACTTTCGTACTTTATTTTCTGTTGCAGCCTGGATTATATTTTTATAGCTTCAGTGGCAGTGTCACTTCTCCCTGTTCACAGATCTCACCTCACCCTAATAGTCAAGCCCATTAATGGACAGAGCATCCTATAAATAAACAGTCTCAATCCTTGCAGTTGACTAATCTTTTATTTTTCATTTTCAAATAAGGATTTGTCATTGCATGGATAAGACTGTGTGAATCAGCTCTTGCATGAAGTATTTTTGAGAACTCCTGTAGGTTGACGTATGGTGATGTTTACATGTCTGTTAGGTGGACACCGGGCATGCAGACTGCGTGTCGAATGCAGAGACAGACAATGTGCCAAGGCTGGATTCCTCAAGTCAATGCTGGAATCCAGTTCTGCTCTAATAGCAGTTTATAGCCCTCTCAGTAGCCTCAGTTACACCACTGTAAATAAAACCCATCAACAACAGTGTGGAGGCTGAACCATGGACTGGTTGCTCTCTTCTCCTGAGGATTGTGGTGAGTCCTTACCCCCCCAATAAGTGTTGCACAAATGTGTTGCCTCTGTGATATTATGAGAAACCATCTCAGCTGATGGTTTGTGAATGTTCCAGTGAGGCCCAATGTTTGACTTAAGTGTGAAAGTGTGAACTTTTGGGAGTACTTTCACAATGTTTTGTCGGTCCAAGTTGTTGTGGTAGCCCACTCCTACATCTATGTCTGACTTCTGCCATTGTAGCCGTTTACTGAGAACAGATCTCTGGCTGCCAAGCACATTTTTTCCTATGAACAATGGTGTGGGCAATTGGCAAACTTTGCAAGAATACGTGTGGGCTATATAAGAACATGGGGCTGAGAGCAGTACATGCAAGCATATGCGTTGTTGTTTACAGCATATCTATTTAAGCCCTCATGATAAATGTGAGGAGAACAGTTCTGTCACCAACATGTTATTGACTTACAGCCAGGCTCGAATGTTGCTAAGGGGTTTACTGTTATGAGAAATGGAGGCTGGGACTGGAAACCCAGGAGAGCCTGGCTGTCCTGCCTCTGTGTATGTGTGAATGGGTCATGTTTACGCAGTCGACAGCGCGGGCCAGGGAGTGGTGAGCGACTGGTGTTGGACAGCTATTATCTGAGCTCAGAGGTGCAGAGTGACAAGGAGGGATAGAGCAGGGGCTGAGAGGCCTGTTGGAGTTGTTTTCCCTCAAACATTAGTCAAATTCTGCCAGTGTGCGTATGAGCAACTGCCATGAACATCCCTGTGTAATGGTGCATTGGTTCATTTGTATATGCTAGCATTAGATGATTTGTTTGTGTACCTGCATGTCCATTTCAGTGTGAGCGTGCCTTTGCCTGTACTCTTTGGGTGTATGATCATGGGGGGGGGAGAACAGGTGTGCATAAACTGACATGCCTGTAATAGCATGCTTGTAGCTGCTAGTTTGGGAAAACGGTGAATGCCCTTATGTGTATCTGTGTTTTTAACAAGATCAATTTGATTATTCAAGTTAGGAAACAGTAAATGTGATCCCAGGTAGGAAACCTTGTGTACAGCTGCTCAGTGTGTCATAACTTATACTCTGAATATTTTCTTTTTGATTAATCAGGTGTCTGCATATTGGACAAAAACTCTAATATGGATATTTCGCATTCATAATGTTAGAGGGTAGAATTTTAAATGATTATGTTTAAGTAGAACTT